AGTGGTTCAGTCTCTGTGAGCCCCTATGGGCAGAGGTTATTTGACTATGTAGGTCATTTTATTATGTCCTTGACCCATATGGCTCCTTCAGTCCTATCTCCCACTCTTCCACAAGACTCCCAAGCATCAAATGATGTTTGACTATGAGCCTCTGTATCCGTTTCCATCAGCTGCTGGGTGAAGCCTCTCAGTTATGCGAGGCTCCTGCCTGCAAGTATAGCAGAATATCATTAATAGTGTTAGAGGATGGCTCTCTCCCATGGAATAGGTCTAAATTTGGGCCAGTGATTGTTTGGCCATCCTCTGAATCTCTGGTCCATTTTTATCCCTGCATGTTTTGTAGTAAGGACAAATTTTGAGTCTTAGGTTTTGTGGGTGGTTTGAGTCATCCTCTCTGCCCTGGAAGTCTCACTTGGCTACAAGAAGTAGCAACTTCAGTCTCCCCAGCTGCTAGGAGTCTCGGATAATGTCACCCCCATAGACTCTTGGGAGCTGCCACAGTCCCAGGTCTCCAGCATGGCCCAGATATGCTCCCTTACTGATCTCTGTTTTCTCTTCCAGTTCTCTCCTGCTCACTCTTTCTTCACACTGCATCTCTATCCTCATTTCCCTCCTCACTCCCTCCCCACCTAATTCCCTCCCTCTATCCATCTCCAATGTCTATTTTTATTTCTCCTTCTGAGTAAGATCCAAACATTCTCGCTTGAATTTTCCATTTTACTTATTTTCTTTGAGAATGTGGATTGTAGCATGGTTATCTTGTACTTTAGGGTTAATGTCCTCTTATAAGTGGGCACATACCATGCATGTCTTTTTGGGTCTTGGTTATCTCACTCAGGATTATATTTTGTAGTTCCATCCAGTTGCCTGCAAATTTCATAATGTTCTTGTTCCTAATAGCTGAGTAGTATTCCATTGTGTAAGTGAACTACATTTTCTGTATCCATTCTTCAGTTGAGGAACATCTAGGTTGTTTCCAGCCTTAGGCTATTATGGATAAAGCTGCTATGAACATAGTTGAGTAGGTGCCCTTTCAGTATAGTATGGCATGCTTTATTATATGTCTAGGATATAGCTTATATCGTGGGTATAGCTGGGTCTTAAGGTAGAACTATTCCCAGTTTTCTGAGAAGCTGCCAAATTGATTTCTAGAGTGGTTGTTTGCACTCCCACCAGAAATGGAGGGGTGGTTTCCCTTGCTCCACATCCTCATCAACATGTGATATCACTTGAATTTTTGATCTTAGTCATTCTGATGAGTGTAATATGGAATCTCAGAGTCATTTTGATTTGCATTTCCGTAATGATTGTGAACTTGAACATTTCCTTAAGTGCTTCTGGGCCATTAGAGCTTCTTCTGTTAAGTCTTCTGGTGTATTCCATTTTTAAATTGAGTTAATTTGGTTTTTTTGTTTCTAACTTCTTGAGTTCTTTATATATTTTGGATATTAGTCCTCTGTTGGATGTTTGGATGCTGAAGATCTTTTTCCATCTGCAGGCTGCTGTCTTGTCCTATTGATGGAGTCTTAAACCTCGTGGAAGCTTTTCAGTTTCGTGAGGTCCCATTTATTAATTGTTGAATTTATTGCCTGAGCTATTGGTGCCCTGTTCAGGAACTTGTTTTCTGTGTCAATGCATTCAAGGCAGTTTCCCCTTTCTTTTCCCTCCTCAATCTTAGTACATCAATATGTCTTTCAATGAAAGATATATGAAGTATTTACCTCATGTTAGCTGTACCTGACTCTCTGGTTCCTTATCCTTTTCTGTGATAACAATTACCATGTAACATAGGTCTGGACCTGCCTCTGCATTTCTGTAGAACCTCTATTCCAATAGGAACTGTTTGCCCAATATATAGCCAGTCTGATTTCTGCACTGCTGAATTTTATCCCCATTTGGGGGACCTTTGTTTCCAGATTGATCCCATTTTGTTTATATTATCTCACCTCCTTCTGACACAGCTCTTTTCCAATATTGTTTGTACATGCCATATTCCCTTTTCTCACAAATCTCTGGCCTCTTTCTAGATCATTCTTTTTGCCATGTATCCTGATTATCATATATAAACCACTTATACTTAATTATCAACATATCAAGGTGAGGGCTTCTCAGTTCTTAATTCATGCCTGTGGCTCCAGAGGCATATCTCTATACGGGTGTTAAACATCTTAGCCATCCTTTCCCTCTGAGCCCCACTCATTCTGAGTGGCCATCTGTCCGTTGTCTAAATCAGGGCCTGGAAGTCAACCTTGACTTTTTTCCATTCTTCTCTTTGCATCCATAGACAGTAAACTGCCCATCTGCAGTGGTACCTGATATTGTTCAGACAACCTCTGTCTTGACCTTGACTGACTTAGCTCCTGGCACCTCCCCTCTCCTTGCTTCTATAGGTGTAATCAGTTTTCTATAGGTGTAATCAGTTTTCCACCAGCTATATGTCCTGATATTCACTCCATGCCACTGAATACTCAGTGAGGAAAATCAGTATGAGAACCAGTCTGTTTACAACCTTCAGGATAAAATACTAATTAACATGCACGGAGTGTAACCTTTATCTTGGTCTTCTATTATATTTTATTTTATTTCTTTATGCAGGGAATGATTAGCTTGTGCCTATGGGAGTGGGTTAATTCTGTTGGGCTGAGTTGTGGGTCCCCGGCACATCTTCTGTTCTTCCCAGGTGCCTTAGGGAGGTGCCTCCAGAGAGAGGCAGAAGCACAGGATTCTTGACTGATCCCCTTCCACATGGTGGAACTAGATTGTGAGAACCCGGTAGGACAACCACCCACTCCGCCCCCAGGTGGGGAGCGAACTCTCAGTCGGAAGTTCTGATGGGGGCAGGTGGGGCAGGGGCTCTTGAGTTGGGATCCCTGGGCCAGGAGGCAACCAGGGACCAACTGGTCTCGAGCCCTTGGGCCTTCAGACACCTCTGAGAGACCACAGAAGGACCGAGACTGTGGGCGTGTGGGTGCGTGACCAGTCTGCACACAGACAGAAGCAAGGGAGGGAGAGGGATGCCCCAACCTCCCCCGGAGGGAAGTACTCGCTTTGCTCAGCTGCTCGGCTAGCTTGTTTGAAGAGGCGGACCTCCATGGTGGAACTCCATGGCAGACCCCAAAAGACATGAGGAGTCCATAGATTTTTCAGGCTTTATTTTCATGATGGATGATAGTTGCATCTGGATGCCAACCCCCCACTTAGGTCAGGGCAGACCTGACTTAAATAGGGAGGGAGGGGGAGGAGGGTCTGGGAAATGAATACGTAATTGGCTACACCCTCTGGCATTTAGGTATCTCATCACTACAGAAATCTCTCTAGGGCCTGAGGCCTGTAGTCATGTCCTCTACCTGTGGAGGGGCTGGTAACAGCGTTGCCCTACGTGACTGAACGGAGCAGATCAAATGGAGGTCTATGCCATGTGTCAGGAGCCTGGATTTTGGGAGTGCGGCAGAATAGATGCCCATCCCTAACAGGCATGCACACCTGTTGGTTCTCCGGGCTATTTCCAGCCAGCGATTCTCCCAAAACCAAAGCCATCCTATCATGGTCCCACATCTTTAGTTTGTTGTGATATTTTATTGAAATACTTTATTTCTGTGCATTAGTTTAATTCACCTTGTTTTGGTTTTGGTGGTGGAGAGTTAATCCAAGGCCTTACATATGCTAAGCATACAGACTATCACTGCCCTATACCTCAGTCATCTAAAGAAATTTCTCAGTTCTACAGCAAATTACATTTGCAGACTGGATTATATAATAGTCTTTAATACTTTGTTTTTTATTTTAAATATAATTGGTTTTCATCATGGAAAATGTAGTGTGTCACTGTGTCCCAAAATATATTCCTCTGTGCACACATCTTCATTTGTAAATGTTTATTGTAATGAATCATTGGTCTGGTTTGAGATCTCCAGCTTTTGTGACACCATCAATATTGGATACTCATTGGGAAACTTCCCAGATATCCCTCTTTGGATCATCAGGACTTGCTGTTTCATGTGTCCCAACAGTTCACAGATGACATACATTTTGGGGTAGGACAACTCAGAGCCCTGGATATGGGCCTGGGTGGTACCATTGCTGATCAGCATGCTAGCTTTACCTTATCTGCACCATCAGGGCAAGCTCTTTCAGCACTGTTCTGCCTAGGCCACCAATGTCACCATTTGCAGAAGGTAGGGCCAGCTTTCCTGATCTCATACCCTTGGGGCCCACACCCAGACCTTTGTCTCCAGAGCCAGTTCCACTGCGATGCCTAATCATAGTGAGAGGTCCACTTTCCCAAGTGCTGCAACCTGTGAAGTGCTAAGCCAGCTCTCAAGCTCTCATACCCATTTATCACTTACCTGTATCTTTTCCATCAGGGCTAGTTCCACTGTGCTGCCCAGGTGAGATACAAGGCCCACTCTCTTAAATGCTACAACCAGTGAGGGACAGGACTAGCTCTCCCTTGCCCATGACCCTGTGAGCAGCTTTCTTGACATTGAGAGATGGTGGTGGGTGTTACTTCTGTGCCTGTGAGACCTAACATCAGATGAATGGCAGGGTCAGCTCTTCCACCCTTGAGTCTGGCTTACCTGTGCTACCAGAGCTAGAGCTGCTGTACTGCCTGGGCAAGGTATAGATGCCACTCTCCCAAGTGGCACAGCCAGTGGGGGTGGGGGAGGTCAGTTTTAATTGGCCCTTGGATATCTAAGTGCTCACTGGTGGCTGCCCTAACCAGGACATCCCCATGTTCTCTAGTATTAATATAAGCTATAGACATGGACACCAACAAACCCTGTTGTGAGGTAGCTGCAGACCTAGACATGGCACTCAGTGGTAGCTCAGGCTTGGACTCTACCATGGTCCCAGATGAGGCTTTTCCAGGTGAGGCACAACAGGGCAAGCCTGTGGGTATCTTTCCCCGCCTGCACTAAATGTCATGCTATAAAGCAGGTTTTTGTCTGTTGTCCTCCTTCTGCTGAACTACCTGGATTTGATTTTGTTTGGTTTGAATTTTATGTGTCCTAGGCATAAAACAGCTTTGGCCACTAAACCAGGCATCAATCTAGGATGAGCAAAGCACTGCCATCTGCTCTGCTCCCAACTGACATAAGAGCAACACCATGAACAAGGTATTTCTTTGTCCATTTCTAGGGGGTTAAGTGTAACTTGGTCTTAAGTATATCTGTCTCTAGTCTTCCTTACTTCCCTTGTGAAAACAAAGCAGTCACATTCTACCTAAGGACTATGTGTGGATGTGGGCCCAAAGGCATGAGATCAGAAGGGCATAGATCTTCCATGTAACAAGAAACAAATACATCATTAGGGAAAAAACTTGAGCTTCCCTTGGCAGTCTAGCCCGCCAGATATTGATCTATTTCTGTGTCTTACATGTGTCATTGACTTCATTAGTATTTCCTGTTTTGCTTTTGCTTGTGCATCTCAACTTGCTATTTTCCTTCATTCCCATGGATAGTAGCCAGAATGGAGTGATTAGCATTGTGGAAATCTGGAAGAGAGGACAATGTATTGATCACTATTGATTAAATGATCATCCAGGGATGGCATAAAGTCATCCTTAGGTAGTTGTGGGAATGTTGATTGCCTGTGTTGAAGAAAATTCACGTTGGAACCTTAGATGCCACTGTCAACAAACAGTTGACTGTTTTGTATCACCATAATAAAAAAATGCAGAGAAAGAATTTAAAGGGTGAAAATAGTGTGGATTATGGTTTCAAGATTTCACCAGTGGTCAGCTAGTTTGATGTATTTACATAAACTGTGAGAGAGAATATTATGACAGAGAGGGCATGTTGTAATAAGAGATAGATAGATAGATAGATAGATAGATAGATAGATAGATAGATAGACAATAGACAGATCAATAGATAGATAAATAAATAGATAGACAGACAGATAGATAGATAGATAGATAGATAGATAGATAGATAAGGGGTAGGAACCAGGGACAAGACATAGTCCCACATAAAAATGTCCCAATGCTTTCTCTAACTAGGACCTACCTTTGGAAGTTCCTTACAATTTTGTCAAACTGTGAAAACATCAGTGAATTAATACATTGAGTGTAATCAATATACTTATGATTCAACAACCTGGTTACCAATTCTTCAATACATGATATTCTGGAGGATCATTTGTATCCAAGCTATAATATTAGGTAATACATATATATGGTCTCGAACACTCCTTTAGGGCAACAAAGTCTTTTTTAATATGACACGCAGTTAAAAGATTTTTCTTGCATCTCAGTTCTGTTATTAGTTCAGTGAAAACATAGAAATTGGTGGTAGAGCTGCTGATAAGAACAACAACACTCATGAAATGTCTACTTCTTATCAAGCATTCTAAGTACTAATTTGTATATTACTTTAACTTCCCAGTACACAGTGAGAGTGGAACTATATTTGCCATCTTTATTAATGAAAGTTCAATGACTCGAATAGAGAGATAAAGCAAATAAATGAAAGAGAAGAATTTGATTAAATGCAGCTATCCTGTATACCCTATCCTCATAAAGACATTTTACTACACTACTTTCAAACACTGGGCAAAATAAAAGAGACAATATTCAATTAAATACATATAGTATATGTTATAGAATTCACAATTATAATAGTATATAATGCCCAGTGTATATTATTTCATGTTTAATATTATATACTTTGTGTGCTGTATAATGTCATATATGTCAATATGTAATAAATAATACATGCTGCCTGACACTTAGTTAACACCATACTAAGCATATCACTTATAATCTCAGGTAATTTTGACACATTTTAGTATCATGGAATAATTATGCTTGATGATAGGTTGAACTCAATTGAATAGATTTTTGATTTTCTGATGTTTATAAATCATGAGAGAGGTGATATCTGAATTCTGGTTTCCTTGTACTAAAAAGAAGGCTTCCACATTCTTCCATATAGAATATGTCACTAGTTAGTACACCATTAATGAAAATGACAAAGAACAACTTTTGTGCACGGAGTACATCAGGTGATAATGTATCACTAAGACTGAACCTAGATTTAGAGAGTGATACATTTTATTATTTTGCTTTAAGGCAAAAGTTGAAGATCTCCACAATGTCCAGATTGCCCATACTGTAGTAGTCAAAGAAGGACTTCATGGTAAGCATTTTCATAATGATGGAGTTATGAGTTTGGCATTTGCTGCTGTGTATATGTATTAATCTTCTCAGATCAAAGGTTTAGGAAATATTATGGAAGACAGTTTGGAAATGATGTACCAGTTGGAGGATTAGAAACAGAGTTAGAGTCACAGTATGATGGCTTCTGTGTATAGCATATTGTACACATGAACTCACAGCATTTCTACTTAACTGCTCATAATTATGCCAGGTACAGTTTCAGCATGTGGGGCTGACGTGATGGATCAGCCATTAAAATCTACCTCACAAGCGAGTCACGGGCAGAAGTCATAGTGACTTTCACCCTGCCAATACTGAAAGATATCTGTATTCCCCCTGAACACCCACACTCCAGTGTCATTCCCTTCCCCACATCCTGCCTTTCTGTGTTTATAACCCCTGTGTCAATGAATCACGATTTGAGAAAAAATAAATTATAAAAAAAAGAGATTAAAAGAGAAAGTAAAAATGAAAAAAAAATAAATCCAGCCACTGTTGAATAATAATAATAAAAAAAAAGTTATTTAAAAAAAATCTACCTCACAACCAGCAGTGGTGGCACACACCTTTAATCCCAGCACTTGGGAGACAGAGGCAGGCAAATTTCTGAGTTCGAGGTCAGCCTGGTCTACAGAGTGAGTTCCAGGACAGCCAGGGCTATACAGAGAAACCCTGTCTCAAAAAAAAAAAACAAAAACAAAAACAAAAAAACCCCAAAAAACAAAAAACAAAAATTCTAACATGGTTAAAGAGGAGCCACAGGACCCCCCCCCACACACACACACCTTCTATAGAGAGGCTATTGGGAGTTGATGGCTGCGTGAAAGGACCAGTCATTTTCTTCGATGATGTGACTGCTGCAAGGTTGCCATGCAATACTAGATGGCTTTAAACTCATGTGCATCTGGACAGCACTAGTTGAACTCAAGGAAAAAAAAAAGAAGTATATGAAGTTTTAAAGAGCTGACGGGTGTCACTCGAGTCAGTCGCAGAGAAGACAGATGATGGTGGAGGGGTGTGATCAGCATACAGTATAAAAATCTATGAAGATTTCAAAGAATAAATGAAATGTGTTATTTGGAAATAAATATCATGTAGGGTTCAGACTACACAGGGTTTGAAGGCAATGGTAATGGATTCGGATCTTCAAACCATAGAGATCATCTAGGAGCAGGCTTGCCTGTCTGTAAAAAGCTTGGGCATGATTGAAGCCATCCCTGACTCACTTTCAGCTAAGCACCGAATACTTGATTAGAATCGAGGCCAGTCCGAGAGCTCTAGTGGTATTTCCCGGGAGTCTAAATCACAGGGTTTTGACATCTCTGATTTAAAGAGAAATTGAAATTGCTACACTACTCATTCAGGCTGAAACTACTTTTAGGCTTGACAAGGAGAGCCATTGGAAACATAAATCTGCCTCCTAATAATGATTCAGGTTTGAGGTTCTTCCTGCTTTCATTCCATAGAACGAGACAGCAGGAGAAATAACGACGCCTGACATGCTCTCTCATTACATTTGTAGAGCATCTTTATGAAAGTGATCTCATTTGATCTTTGTAAAAACCCTGTAAGGGGAGCACTATTATCTTCATTCAGCTGCAAGCAAACAGACACAGGAAGTGTAAGACAAGCAAAATTGTGTTTGCTCACCTCTTTTTCTCTGACCCTCTCAGCTAGGCAAAGTCTGAGATCTCCATGGGTAGATGCAATGCTTTAGTTAGCGCCCGAGTCCATGACCAAAGTGGCATAAGCCAACAAGCTATGCAGTGTGTCTGAAGTGTGCTCTGTTGAATTCTTTCTATCATTCCCATACAAACCTGTCATTAAGCATGGGGCTGCATTTTTAATGGCACTTATATTTTGTATGTATGTATGTATGTATATGTGTATATATATATGTGTATATGTGTATATACATATATCTATGATATGTACATCTATAGATTTATTCTTCAAAAAGAATAAAGAAAAGTGATCATCTTTAACACCCCATAATTTTAGTACTTTTTTCATTATATACATATATCATATACTAACATGATTTTAAAAAGTCTTACTAACTTCATGTTAGAGACCTGGCTAAAGACATTGTGATAATCTTGTTGTCTGTATTTGAGTAATAAGCACATACCATGTGGCAGCCATTACTTTAAGCTCTGTAAAAGTGAATGTTGTTAGACACTGCCTGAGACTTTAACCATTCAGTGCCACAGCCTCTACTACAAATCTGAATTATGTGCAAGCCTATCTGTGCTAGGTTATGGAGGGTAATATAGTAACTGAGTAGTTTAAAACTCATCGTCTTTATAGCTCGTGATTCTATAGATCAGGCATCCTAATCTGCCTCAGTTTCCTCTGTGAGGACAGGACACACAAGGATACAAGCTCTGTCAGTTAGCCTCAGAGGTGCTAATGGGTCAGGTGAGAAAGAATCACTTCAAATTAACTCAAAGCATTGGCAAACAATTTCTTTCTAGCTGTGGGTGAACAGGTTATTCTTAGTTTTTAGAAGCTGTTCCCAGACTTGTACCTATCCTCTCCTTTTACTCAGCAGTGGGATTCCACCTTCGCCCTGAATGTCCCTCCTAACTGGAATATAGTTGACTTCTTTCAAGTCAAGAAAATTCTCTAGTTTTAATCGACTCATAGAACTGGATGGTACACACCCACTAATCTGTCTTATTATCAGTTACTCAGGAGTTCATGTGTCTGTGTGTGTGTGTGTGTGTGTGTGTGTGTGTATCTGTGTCTGAGTGTGTGTCTGTGTCTGTGTGTGTGTGTGTGTCTATGTGTGTGTCTGTGTATGTGTGTGTGTCTGTGTGTGTGTGTCTGTGTGTGTCTGAGTGTGTGTCTGTGTCTGTGTGTCTGTGTCTGTGTGTGTTTGTGTGTGTGTGTGTCTGTGTGTGTGTCTGTGTATGTGTGTGTCTGTGTGTGTGTGCATCTGTGTGTGTGTGCGTCTGTGTGTGTGTCTGTGTGTGTGTCTGT